GAATAAATCAATTAATTAATTAACGTCTTTAAATAAATTTGTGATCAACAGTCTGTCTGCATTAAAAAATTATTCTCTACCTGCATACCATTTTACAGCTTTCCAGATAGAGTCGAACATATCACAATTTTCGATCAGGCAAACAAATAAATATTCAAACATGTAAACAAACTTGACTTTTAGTAGTATATAGATAGTCGTAAAACTAAATGAAAAAGACAGTTGAAAATTGATATAAGTGTTGGGACGTAATAAATACAGCAAACGGACGTATTGTTAAAGTTATGACCGACAGAAAATTAGATTTAGAACGCGTTAAACTTTTGAATGGGAACACAATTTTCTTCAATAGACGCCGCCATTTTATTGTACTAAAGAGTAAACAAAAACCTGTGACGTCACTATTCCCACAAAGTTTAGTCAAGGTTTTAACATTTTAAAAAAAATGGGTTATTCTGCGTATGAATAAATCAATAAATTAATTAACGTCTTTAAATAAATTTGTGATTAACAGTCTGTCTGCATTAAAAAATTATTCTCTACCTACATACTATTTTACAGCTGTCCAGGTAGAGTCGAACATATCACAATTTTCGATCAGGCAAACAAATAAATATTCAAACATGTAAACAAACTTGACTTTTAGTAGTATATAGATAATAATAATAATAATAATAATAATAATAATAATAATAATAATAATAATAATAATAATAATAATAATAATAATAATGACAATAATAATAATAATAATAATAATAATAATAATACTGACGATAATAAAATAAGAAAAAAGATAACGATGATAATAACAAATAAGAGCAACAATAATAAAAAAAACGTGGGTAAAGTTGGAACGCGACAACATGGCCAAATAAACATTGACTCAAGACACTGAGGTCGATCACGTCACAACGACGGTTGAGTCACGGCACGGTACTCAGATAATGCTGAATAAATTTACAGACCAAGAGAGAGAACTCTACGGGTAGTTTGGTCTCCGGTTTGAAGGGTTAAGTCGGGCCGGGGGTCGGGGGGGGAGGTGGGGGGGGGGGGGATAAAAAAAATCAGCAACTTGGACACTGGTTTTTTTTTTAAACTTTTGTCAACTAAGTTGGCATGTGTTTAAGTTACCACTAATCTAAGTGTCCCGGGTTCGAAAATTAGTCACACCAGGATCTAAATAGAGTTGGTGAAAATTATTAAGTAGACCTGACAAGTGGAGATACAGAGAGTTAAGTTCAAATCTCTGTATTTGTAGTGTTCAGAACACAGCCATCACGTCAGCGTGGAAAGTTTGAAGACAAATTTAACCTTTCATAAATCTCTGGCCAAAATTGTCTATACATTTATTATTTTTTTAAACATGATTTCTTACAATATTCATAACATACGAAATAAGGATTGACTTGCGTTTTTAGAAATAATATAAAATAAACTTCGTAATTAGCCTGAATTTGGCATCACCTGATTCTTAACTGTTCTTATTTTTCTTACTACATGTACACGATCTTCTTCGTTCATGCAATAATTTCAGAAGTTAATGCTAAAAATCTTCAAATTACCTCACCGAAAATTCAATTCCCAAATCCACTAAACAATTTGAGATGTACAACTATTGTTGAAACGACCTAAGAATTAAACCTAAAACTGTTTTGGGGACGCACGAACTCATCTTTGAAATTACCCAGCCACCCGTTGTGATAATCTATAAACCAAGAAGCATACATAAATGAACATATAATTTAATCTCCAACTTCACTTTCATATTGCAAGAAATGAACATTCTACGAACCTTAACCACCCTCACAGATAGTTTCCGACGCACGACGCCTAGTTGACTCCCAATGTATTGCGTCGACAAATGTATGGAGGCAGTAAAATGTATCACGTTTCCTGATGGGGCAATGACACCAAGTATAAAACACGGAGAAAGAGACGTCGGTTTTATAGACGACATGGCAGTCCGCAACTTGTCGCCAGTTATATTAGACCGTTACTTGATAGCAAACGGTGACGTAATTGCTTATTGCGAAATTGAATTTATTTCTTTTTTTATTTCTTCCTGACAAAAAAAAATGCTAATTGGAAGTAAATGAATATTAGAAATAATTTTTAGACTGTTTTATTTTAACTATTTACATTTATTTCTTACGGAAAATTTGTGTACGTCTAGATTTCACAAAGGTATACAAGGCTGAGGAGAGCAAACTATCTAGGAGAAAACAACTCTAAAATCAAAATATTATGGCGTAGTTGTTTGTTCTTGGGTGGATAAAGACCATGGAAGCAAATCCAGAAAGAAAAAAAAGGCTGAAGATGGAGTCCACTAGCCATATGGCGCATAACACATTGCCAAGTAAAACTGCATGGTGTTGGAGGAAATATCTTTCGATATTGCGATTAAGAACCAAATAGAAATAATTGGTAACGCGGGTGACTACTAAACCTCAACTCCTATTTTAAATAACGTGAACGGTTTTGTTAATAATAATTTTTAAAATCAATACTTTCCATTTCCTGGAACTAATCGATATGCCGCAGCCCAAAGCTAGAGTTGTATAGCTGATAACGCCATTTTAACTCTGCTACAAACAGTAGGCTTACAGCAACCCAAACCGTTAATCTAACCCAAACCGTTAAAGTATCGTTATCGACGAATACGTCACCTCGAGCTACATGCAGTTGTTGCATGTGGCCAAGCTAATCGATTATAATCCTAACCCTGATCCCAACCTGAACCTAGCCTTTACACACCTGTTTGACCATCTGTGTCCAACTTGAAACTTTTCGAAAAGTTTTTTTTTTTACTTCGTACTCAGTATCAGAGTTTCTTTCAGGCATCTCAACGGCAGTCCACCACCCACCACCCCCACCCCCGGAGCACGTATACAGCCATCGCCCCCACCCCTGACCAAATCGGAAAAAAATAATATAGAAAAAGCGTTCTTTAACGAGTGTCTTTCATTCCTTCCACCCCCGGAAATTTTAAGTGTACCCCGGAGAAAAATATCTGAAAGAAACCTTGCACAATACGTTGCAACCATTCAAGTGCATTCAGTAGGCAATTTTCTGATTAGCGCTACCGTTCATTTTTTAAGTTCTTATTTGAGTGCATAGGTTTTTTACCAACGCAAATAGTATCAGGCCTTGTTAGAGATATCTAGAACAAAAGAATTTTGCTTACTTGGCAATGAACTAGAAATTAAGCAAACGAACACATATTACGTAACGCAAAAAAGGGTAGCTAAGTGTTGGATCATTTGTTTAATAAAGTAGTACAGCATCAAAGTATGGTAGAGTTAAATGGTCTATTTAACTGACTTTGATTTTTAAAACCTAATTTGTTTGTTACATTCCTGCTCTTTAAAATGATTTAATAGATAGATTTAAAACACTGGCTCTCTCGTATTTTTATTGAAACACGAGTAAGGCTTTGCAAAATATTTTTTAGTGCAGATGTAACAAGCGAACACATTGTGTAGGAGATTAACAAATTTTTTATCTTGGTGCGTTTGAGTGTTGTGTGAGTGTGTGTGTGTGTGTGTGTGTGTGTTGCGGAACTGTTGTATAGTATAATGGTTTTCTGCTGAAATGTAATATAAAATGATGGTGGTTTGTGGGAATGTTATATAATATAATGATAGTTTGTGGGAATGTTATATAATATAATGATAGTTTGTGGGAATGCTATATAATATAATGATAGTTTGTGGGAATGCTATATAATATAATGATAGTTTGTGGGAATGCTATATAATATAATGATAGTTTGTGGGAATGCTATATAATATAATGATAGTTTGTGGGAATGTTAAATAATATAATGGTAGTTTGTGGAAATAAAATTACCTTTGCTACGGATGGTTCAAAATGTCATATTTTTATTCAGAATATAAGCACAAAGCCTGACTACTAAAGGCGACGTCAGTATGAAATCAGATTGTGCTTAATATAGAAAAGTAAATTTGTTAATTAATCTGTGATCCTGAATGTGCTAGGATTCGTTTTGCTTGGTTAATTTATTGTTAATTATAAAACTATTTTAATTTAGTTAATCACCAATACGTGTTAGCGGCACGTGAGTTTGTTAATTAATTAAGTTGTTGTTTTTAATGAAGAAAATAAAAGCGGACAGAAACAAATGATCCAGAGTTTTCAATTAAAAAAACAATTAAAATAGTTGCTAAATAAATAAATTGTTGTTTACAAATATATAGCATTCTCTATTGGCGATAATTAACTTTAGAAATTTAAAAAAAAACCAATATTTTCCAAACAAACTAAAATATCGAGTACTATCAAGGGTAACTTTAACAATGAGTGTTATAGTTTCGCCCTACCAATGAGGTACGTTGTAAACGTGTCTAAAATGGGAACACGAAATAATAGACAGGCTTTAATCATCTTTAATAGTGATAATCAGGGGACGAAGTGGCCTAGAGAGCTAGACTGATAACCCGTAAGTCTCGAGTTCGAATCCGGGTTCAAGTAGGTAGACCGTCGCTGAGTCCATCCAGCTCTAATGGTATAGCCGGCTGGACATAGTGCTGACCACACTATCCCTTCATTTGTCGAGGTCACAGAAACAGGTGAACTCTACTCCACTTGCCCAATAGACCGTCTGGTTTGGAAGGGGAACTTTACTTAAACAGATCAGTCTTTACAATTACAATTTTAGTGTCTTGGTTTTAGCTTTATCGTGAATTAGTCTAAATAAAAACTAAATCTAAAAGTAAAACAATTTCTAACAATAAAGCTTATATATATATATATATATATATATATATATATATATATATATATATATATATATATATATATATATATATATATTCAGTAATTGAGAAGAAGTGTGTTTGTAAAATCGACTTTCCATAATTATTTTAATATGCGGGTTTGATGTTCGGTGTATTATTATCGATATTTAAAGAATTTATAGGCAAAAGGAAGAGAAAACCAAAGAAATGTCTAAAAACGAATTGTTAAAATGTCTTTACCTGTACAGCTGTCTGTTGGAAGCTAAAAAAAAAGTTCTAGAAACTTCTAATTATTTTTTTTAAATCCCTGTAGAGCGCTGACGAAGTCTGATTGGCGGAAGTTCTTGGCCTAGTCTTGGTCCTGCAGGCGAGATCTGGCACCGACGGTTGGTCTAAATCTAAGGACGGTTCTCAGCGTCTAGCACGGTGTTTTCTTTGTTGAAAAAAAAATCAACACCTCCCTACTTCTTCAGAAAAATAATGAACAACCCTCGATTAAGCTCGTGCGTTTTATATGGCCGGCACTCGTGCTCGTCTGACGTCATAGATCATCCACACTTTGAGTGAGGGTGGATGGCACTTCCGGAAGCTGGCGAGTTAGCCAATCAAATTGCGCTGAACGGCTTGTCATGACTAGGATGGGGGTTAGGAAGAAGGGAGGCAACTTAAAAAAATAATTTAAAAATGTTTAGAACCTAGAACAAATAAAAACGAAGATGTTCTATTGGCTGATTGGAAAAATGTAAAAAAAAAAATATCGTTTATCCTTATCTCATAGCAGGGACTGATAACTCGAGCCCAACATGTTTCCAATTTGCCCTTGTTTTAAGAGCGCAACGCTCTAATAATAATAGCTGTAAACTAAGTTTTTATCAACTGTTATATTTAGACATTTTACTTTAAAAAGTTAAGAAAAAAATCATTGCACTAAAAAACAGACAAAATGGCTTTTCTGGTAGGTGATGTTATTGGTTAATCATCATCTTTTTCTCTCTTTGTACAAGACGAATAGTGACCTCGGTGTATAGGGGAATGGAGTGGTCAACACTATGCTCAAATGCTTTAGTTACCGTAACGGGAGTTCGGTACCCATCCACGTTGTGAGGACTCATTGACGTTAAACAGACTCGGGACCCAAGTTTCGAACTCAAGACTTCCGTGTTAGCAGTCGTGAGCTGTACCATTGCGAGGTCCTAGACCGACCCTGGAGAGTAAAAAAACAATATTCCTATCGGAAAACTCCCTTAGGGTCGTTAGATTTGTCCAGATGCTGTATTTTCTTATATAAACAATTATTTGTAAAAAAGTAAACAAAAACTACGTAATTTGGCCTGTGTACAGGGGAGGTAACTTTTTAAAGTAATCATTTTTTAATAACTTCTATACTATTTTAAAATAAAAAATAAAAATCAAATCACAAAGTATAGCATTCTTTTAAACAAATATTTCGTTTTAAATTGATTTATGTATTGTACTGAAAATATAAACATTAATTGCAAAAGTGTATGTAATATAATATTTGTTTTATACTATTAAGGAAGCCTTTGCAGTTCTAATAATCTTGCTTGTAATAAATTTGCGAATACTAAATGACATGATATTATCCTGGCAGTTTAAATACTTAAGCCGTAAGCACTCCGCAAAACAGCCAATCACCGATCAATTAATCATTCAAATTCTCGCTACACCCAAAAGAAATAAAAAGAATAATAAAAATATAAAAAACAAACGCAAATGTGGTCTGACACACACCCTCACTACAATAAAGATGATGGCTATTATAATTTGACACGAAAACAACAATACATAATCTTTCGACTCAGAACAGGTCATAACAGGGCATAACAGACTAAATCAACACATCCATAAAAAACTAAAGGTTGGGTGTGGCGAAATGTGCCCTTGTGGCAAGGCCCCGGAAAATACGGAGCACGTCCTTCAGGAATGCTCTTTGTATAGCCAGGCACGAGTCAGACACTGGTCCCTGCCCACCCCACTCAGGGAAAAATTATACGGGGCACCTGCCAAACTGCAGACCACAGTCCGGTTTGTTCACGAAGTTGGACTTGTTGTCTGAATCCTCCACCATATTCTCAATTAAGAACGAAGAAGAAGAAGAAAGATTCAAATTCTCAAAAGTTTTTTTGAACACCTAAGCGAAGCTAGGCAGTATGCCTAGAATATAAATATAACCATATGTATATCTGTACACCTTCGTTCTTCGTTCATATGTATATCTAAAATATATATGTTAGGCAGCCGACTCTTTCTATTGATTTACCCACCTCTACAACTAAAACCAGTTTTATTTTGTACTAATGAGTGTATCCAGAATAAGTTAAAATCTTAATGACGTTGGGGAAAAAAACGGACGGCCGTTTCTAGGCCCCTATATGGGATCTCTGCACGTGATGCTGACCCGAGTGTTTTGAGGTGGTTGCTCACACGTGTAGTTTTGGCTAACACATGCAGGGTCATATGACGTGGTCTAGGTGCAGGATGTGTCGAGATGTGTCAAGGATGTGTTAATCAGGGGGATTCATGTGTGTGTGTGTGTGTGTGTGTGTGTTTGGGGGGGGGGGGGGGGGGGATGGGGGTTTTAGTTGTGGGTTTAGGGGACACAAAGTGTGCCATTATGCACACGTGGAGTTAGGAGATTTGTTTAAATTTAAGAATTATAGTCAAAAGTTTGTGTAGGAAAGTTATCTATCAATGGTGGTCTGTCCAATTAAACCATGTATTTATAACCTGTATTTATATCATGTATTTATACCCTGTATTTATATAATGTATTTATAACCTGTATTTATATAATGTATTTATAACCTGTATTTATATCATGTATTTATAACCTGTATTTATATCATGTATTTATAACCTGTATTTAAATAATGTATTTATAACCTCTATTGAGTATGTTTTTGTTGTGAGTGACGTGAAGAAGTTGTGCTAGGGTGTTCATTCAATTTTGTTTGAGTGGAAAATAAACGAGTTCACAAAGCCATGGTATGATAGAGAAATCTTCACAAACATGTTACAAACTATCAATACGACACACAAGTAAATGGAAACCAACCAAGCATTATATCATGCAAATAACCAGCCAGCGCTTTCATTTATTGTCACCTACATAACGCTGCTAATAATCATTATATATATATATATATATATATATATATATATATATATATATATATATATATATATATATATACTACTTGTACTACTGTACGTATGTATTGTATATGTATATGTGTATCTCGGTTTTGTCATTAACGAAGTGTACAGATCTAATGTTAGGAGGCAGCACTGACTAGGGTTAGAGTTATATTTGGTTTACACATTTTAACGACGTTACTGATGCTAGTAAGTATAGTTCCCTTTCAAACCTGACTGTCTATGGGACAAGTGAAGTAGAGTTCACTTGTTTCTGTGACCTCGGCATATGAAGAGATAGTGTGGTCAGCACTATGCCCAGACGCCTTTACTTTCCCTAACGTGAGTTAGGTACCCATCAGAGTTGGGTGGACTCAGGGACGGTCTACTTACTTGAACCCGTTACTGATGCTAGCTTTTGACTTACTCCTTTCGTTTTTTAAGCCCTATTACGTTATATAACCCAAATCTAATTCTCATAGTGGATTTATCCTTATAGTCAAAGTAAATCAAACCCTAAATTAATCCAAAAAAAAAAAAAACATTTGAAAAAAAAAAGAAATCCACCCTGTTTCTCCCTAGACAAGGAAGCACCAGCACGTTCTTTAGGTGTTTTTTGTTTTGTTTTGTTTTCTAGCCCACTGTTTTCCCCAACCACTCAGAGGGTCGGAGTGATTCCGTGGCAAGCTGGCGGTAATTCGGTTCCTTCTCTTGCAGGAGAGCTCCACTGTTTTAACAACCGGCGTTTCCAGAAACCCCTGGCAGAAGTGACCGAGCCCGCAGCCCAGTAGGAAACTGACCACGGACTGTACTTCACCACCTAACCACCCCTCGCCAGATGTCGCTGCCGGAAGTGGACGAACGGCCGAATCACGTGACGCGCAAGGATTCATCATCCGGGTTTCTTTATGGCGGATGCGTGGACGTGAGTTCGACGCTGGTGGCATTTCCCCCCACATTACGGGTAAATTGTCTGCGGACAGACGACTGCTTCGTGTGCACAAAATTTACCGGAATCGCCTTAAGTATCGATACTTTATATAGCTACTGTGTGCCTCGGGTTGAATTCAACACGTACAAGTTCTAAAATTAGATCTTGGTGTGTTTTTAATAAGCTTTTATTTTCTAATGAATATCGATTTTTTAAAATATAGGCCTATATTTAAACGTTAAATGTATATTAACAAAACATTTTATATTTCTGCTACTTTAAAAAAATGAATTTACGTTAGCTTTAAGAAGAAATAAGTTCATAATGGTATGGGGATTAGAACATAATTGAGCGCTAAACCGCGGTCAGCGCAGGCCATAAGCCACGCCTAGTGACCGCTGGTGTGTCAGAGAGCGTCACCTAATGGCCGACACCGGCCGCTAATGGTCCCTGATGGATCGATTTGTCTGTGGAGACAGGTTCGATCGCTGCTTCGATTGCACGTGAACCATCAGCCCCCCCCCCCCCCCCTGGTGACGTCACGATGTTTGTCTCTGATGGTTTGTTGCAAGAAATTGGAACAACTTGGTCGAGTCGTAAAAATGTGTTTTGTTAACCCGAAAGTCGTGAGTTCGGTACCTACGCTCAAGGTCGTATGACGTAAACAATTCAAATACGCGGCCCTTACCAGATCACGTGTTATGATACACGTCGGGGGTGGGGGGGTTAGTGGTAATAAATGGGCACAGTGGATACGAGGTCTTCACTTTAGATATTGTTGTCATACCTGTGACAGTGGATGAGAAGACAGCACTTTAGATATTGTTGTCCTACTTCTTATTGCGGTTTGTCGGTTTCACCAGAACTGCTAACGCCAAAAATTCAGTGAAGCTTTACGTACATCTGTATTATAGTGCTGATTGTCATTTAGATACAGTTAATTAACGCTAATGATACATTGATATTTTGCGCTATTAACCAAAATTTAGAGAAACAAATCTTGATTTTATATATCATACAAGCAGTTTATATAGTGCTGCTACACACCCGGCCCAACGAACCAATCAAAACAGCCGACAATTTGAAGAGGTGGTTTCAGGCTGTCACTGTGTTACCTCGTGTTGTCAACAACAAAAGCACCATTCAATCTGTTTAAAATTGTGATTGTAATGATTGTTCTTCTATAGTACACGTGAAGTAATCATAATATTCAGCTCCAAATTCTGGCCGTCTAGACTAGACAATGTAGAATTGTGTTAGGCATAAGAAAGGGATAAAAAATCATAATAAAGTTTAGCCGTCAGTACACCCTCCTCCCCTCCCACATTGAGTGACATCATGTGTCCATTAGAGCATGGATGGACTGTGATGTGATACAGCAGTGAGCCATCAGACATGGGTCATTGGACCGTGACGAGATGTG